ATTCTTTTTTCTCTTCATATTCTGTAAATTTTTCCATATTGCCATAGTATAATGCTTTTATTAAAAAATTCAAAATTATTTTTATTTTTAAAATTTTCTAAAATATATTCCTTTTAATATCTACTTAATAGTCTGTTGAGTATCCATTAAGTAGATATTCCGTCAAGTAGGTATTCCATAGTTTCTTTAACCATCTCATCTAATGTTATGTTTAGGTTCCTCTTTTCAGCAATTTTTTTTTTCACTTTATAAAATTTATTAAGAAGTAGGCACAAAACAATCCAGCCTATTCTAAGTATGATGAAGTTCATACCCAAAGGAAGATTCATTGCATTTGTGACTACAGGATTAGTCAGTCTTCTAGTCAGATGAGACAATGGGAGTCTTCCTTTGTTGGAGGAGGAAGCCAACCACACCAAATGGAGCTCTATGTCTAGGGAATGCCTCTGTCCAGTGGTACTTTTCTGTGATAATGGAAATGCTGTATAACTGCATTATCCAACATAGTAGCGAGTAGTCACGCATTGCTACTGAACATTTTAAAGATTTTATTTATTTATTTGAGAGAGAGAGAATGAGAGACAGAGAGCACGAGAGGGAAGAGGGCAGAGGGAGAAGCAGACCCCCGCTGAGCGGGGAGCCCGATGTGGGACTCGATCCCGGGACTCCAGGATCATGACCTGAGCCGAAGGCAGTCGCCTAACCAACTGAGCCACCCAGGCGCCCGCTACTGAACATTTTAAATGTATCTAATATGACAAAGGAACTGAATTTTTTATTATTTTAAATTTAAATATAAATAGCTGTATGTGGTTGGCATTGTCAGCAAATTTTTTTTTTTTTTTAAAGATTTTATTTATTTATTTGAGACAGAATGAGAGAGAGAGAGAGCACATGAGAGGGGGGAGGGTCAGAGGGAGAAACAGATTCCCTGACGAGCAGGGAGCCCGATGCGGGACTTGATCCAGGGACTCCAGGATCATGACCTGAGCCGAAGGCAGTCGCTTAACCAACTGAGCCACCCAGGCGCCCGTCAGCAAATTTTTTTTTGAGTTATTTCTGTGTGCCAAATATTGTTGAGGCATGGTCCTACAGCATTAAACAAGACAGGCAAGGTTCCTACTCTCAAGAAATAGAGTGTGTCTGATTTTATGTGATTATAAACAACTACAGTAAGACAACTTTTTAAATGTTGTGTCATCGATTGTGAAAACTAGAAAATCCTTTGAAATCACCTTGAAACTACAATGTCGCCTGTCGTAGGTAACATTTAAATTTATCCCCTAAGTATGTGTGACAAGGATAAGAGAGCAGAGTAGTCTTACTTCCAGCATTTTTATTTGAAGACAGTGTATATGAGCCAAGAAGTCCTGGTCCATTTCAGTAGCAACCTATATATTAGATCACTCCTTTAACTCCTGAAGGAAGTCTAGACTCCTTTAGCTGGCTGCTGGGTGTATTTGGAAGAGTAGTCTTTAGAAGCCTAAGCAAAAATAAGAAATGGGGGAAAATATCAAAGTGGTCTATACCAGTTAATTGTAATGGAATTATAGTTGTCATTTATATGTTTTCTTACAGACTGTCAGTTAAACAAGTACGAAATTTGAGATCAGAATGTATGGAGCAGCAAAACCAAATAAAAAAGTAAGTGACTTTTAGATCAGAGCTGGAAGTTGCCTTAGTGCAGCTCCTGCATTTTACCAGTAAGAAAACTGAGTCCCATAGGATTAGAACATAATTCTGATTCCTAGTTCAGTTCTTCTAATTTATTGCTTTCAGGACGCCTGGGTGGCTTAGTCGGTTAAATGTCTGCCTTCAGCTCAGGTCATGATCCTGGGGTCCTGGGATCGAGCCCTATGTCAGGCTCCCTGCTTGGTGGGGAGCCTGCTTCTCCCTTTGCCTCTCTCCATTTGTGCTCTCTCGCTCTCTGTCAAATAAATAAATGAAATCTGTAAAAAAAATTTATTGCTTTGAGCTTGAATTTTATTTTTGTTTTTAATTGAAATGGTTATTAGTGGGTGGATTTATAGATCAGTTCGCTCTTTTGGTGGTAAATTACCATGAGATTTTTAAAAAATGACTAATGAGATCATTTATTTTTTAACTAGAATGGAACCCTATGATGACCAAAGTAATATACAAGAGAAAATCCAAAAGGTGAGGTAACTTTTATATTTCTATTTATATTTTAAAGGAGAAATTTAATCTTTCTTACTTTTGTGATGTGCAATGTTGACTTACTTAATTGGACTCTTATATTCTCTGTTTTTGTCATTTTTTTGTAAAACTTACTTTTTTTTTAAACGCATTAGTAAGTGATATATAAAGGTATCAGTAGGGTGCCTCTAAAAAGCGTGAATAAAATGGAAAAATTAACTTATAAGACTAAATATATAGAAAAGCAGTTTTAAATATGGTTAAAAGTTCAGCTTGATTGTAACTTAATCAGTAGTATTAATTTATGTAAATAAAATATGTTAACTGAAGGGAGATGGTAAATATGGAAGAAAAATGAGAAGTCACATTGAAGCTGGCTTGGCAGTAGGGAGGAATCTGGCAGACATAAATAATCTGAGGTTTGGGGCGCCTGGGTGGCTCAGTTGTTAAGCATCTGCCTTTGGCTCAGGTCATGATCCCAGGGTTCTGAGATCGAGCTCCACATTGGGCTCCCTGCTCGGCGGGAAGCCTGCTTCTCCCTCTCCCACTCCCCCTGTTTATGTTCCCTCTCTCACGGTCTCTCTCTCTGTCAAATAAATAAGTAAAATCTTAAAAAAAAATAATAATAATCTGAGGTTTTCAGAGGATGGCTTTGATGTGAGATTGGAGTGTTTTCTTAGGCCTTTGTGTTTAGATGAAATCTCTCTCAAGCTCTTTGTTTTGTTTTTATGATCACTGAGCTGCTTTGAGTGTTAATTTGGCTTCCCAGGCAGTTTGTCACTGGAAAAGGTGAGTCCCCTCCTCAGGAAATAATTATTCATCCATTCAGTGAATTTTTATTGATCACCTGCCATGTGCCAAGCATTCTAGGTATTAGAGCTACAGCAGTGAGGAGGCAAAATCACTTCCTTCATGGATCGTCCGGCTTCGGGACTATGAATACTTCTGTTACTGAACATAGTATCTTTGATTGTATATTTAATAGGTTGATGTGAAACCTGTTTAGAAGTTTTCACATTGATCTCTCCTGACTTTGGTTAATGTTCACTTTCCCTGAGTCCGGTCAATTTTTTTATCCATTGACAAGATAAAAGTAAAAATCTGAGAACAAAAAAAAAATCTGAGAACCAGATCCTGGATCTTTGTCCACCAAGGAAATGTCATCCTGTGAGACCTGTAGACTCCTAGCCAATGAGTCTTCTTTGGGGACAACTTTACCTTGTACCGTGGGAAGACACAAACACAAACATGGGTATAATTATTGTATTTCCCTGCCCACCTCCCACCTTTATAAATTCTTTTAAGGCATCACATATGTACAAAAAAGTGCAAAAGTCATAAGTGTATAGCCTGATAAAATTTCACAAAGTGAATAAACGTATGTAAGCAGCATGGAGTTTAAGGAACAGAACATTAGCCCAGAAGCCTCAGGCCCCCTTTCATTTACAACCATTTCCCCCCCAAGAGTAAATACTTTTCTCCCTTCTTATATTAAAGATTAGTTTGCCTCTTCTTGAACTTTATATACAGGGGAGTATATAGAATATATTCTTTTGTGTTTGTCTTCTTTGACTCATGCTGTTTTATCTGTGCTGTTGTGTCTGTGGGTTGTAGTGTGTTCATTCCCAATGCTGTGTAGTGTTTTATGAACTTAGCACAAACATTTTTGTTTTTTTTTTACTCTAGGTAGATGTTTGGGTTAATTGCAGTTTTTGACTATTACAAATAGAAATGCTATGACCATTCGTTAAAAATTTTTTTACTATTTTAATTGAAGTATAGTTGGCACACAGTGTTATGTGAGTTTCTGGTATATGGCATAGTGATTGGACAACTCTTTGTTACGCTGTGCTCACAAGTGTAGCTACCACCTATAAACATTCTTACACATGCATTTAATGAACATAGATGGGTTAGTATATGCCTAAGATTCTTTGCTTTTAAAGAAGCATGGTTTTTCATATTTTAACCTTTTGAAACTTGAATGACTCTTAAAATTGATGTGTGGTGGTTTTTTTTTTTCTCCTCCAAAAATTTTTTATTTCTCCCTGAAAAGTTTCTTTTTCTTTTTTTTTTTTTTTTA